CCGCTCGTGGCTGCCCTCCGTCTCGCCCGCCATGTTGACCCCACGGCCATCCCGAAACACAGGGCTGCTATCCTCCTCTGCCCCCCTCTTGACACGCCGCATGAGTGCCGACCCCACCCTGTCGCCCCAGTCACGCCGATCCAAATCAACCTCACCCATGTCGAACGGCAGGGCCACATAGCTGCGTCTCCCTTGCGATGGGCCGGGTGTCAGAGGCCGCCGGATAACGATCAGATGGTCCCTGGCGGCTGCAGGAGGGTATGGGGACGACGCTGCGCTGGAAGCGTCACTCGCCGTGGTGGACAGCAGCCGCTGGGGATAGTCAGCCGTCAGCCTGGGTGAGGGGGACGTGGCGCATGACGGCTGGTCCACAAAAGCGGGGTTGGGGCACAACGCAACACTCGCCACTGTCGAGTTGGCGGCAGCAGAGCTGTTGAGGGCGCGAGAGATGTGCTCGCAGTAGTCTGCGGTGCTCGACGTCTGCCACTCGTGCTTGGCGGCAGAGGGGGATGTAGCGAGGGCGGGGAGGGGGTGGTGTGACACCGAACAGGGAGGGGGAGATGGGGAGGAGGGATCGGCAGATCGATGGATCACCAGACAGTTGGTCGTCTTGCCACCGGACGACAAACCACCGGCGGTGTCCTGGTCGGCAGTCTGCTGGAAGAGGAGGCACTGCAGCTCCAGCCCCTGGATGACCCGACGTGTCTGCTGCACCGCCTCCTCGACAGACGACACCTCAAACGCGTGAGCATCCCACAGCAGCCGTCCGCCTCTGTCCTCATGGCGCGCGAGTGCCAGCAGATCCCACCGCGGCGATGCATAGATACAGTAGGCGGAGAGGTAAGGCGGTGTTGGCGTGATGGTCACCACACGGACTGAAGAGGCCGATAAAGCCGCGAGTTCCTGATCAAGCCGGGACGAGTCAACCAGCCGGGCCTGCAGACGGTGCGCCCTCCTCCTGGGCACCGCAGCGGCCGCAAATGGGCCGTCAGCTGCCACCTGAACATCGCCGATGGGCTCTCGTCCTGCGGCTTTATCTCGAGTGAAGCATTCGCAGCAGACGAAGCCGAGATCTTGACGATTCGTCGAGCTGCTTGCGCCCATCTGGTGCGACGAGGAGAACACCTCAGCAGAGCGGTTTGAGGGAGCCTCAAATTTGCGAGCTTAGCACCCCGGTCGAGGGGAGGGCGTTCCTTTCTTAGATGGTGCCTACTAGGGTGCTGTAGACCGCCAATGAATAATCTTGTTCAAAATTCCCCGAAACTGTGCACTTTGTGGTAAGTGCATTGGTCTGCACAACCCATCAGATCACGCGTGGGCCCATGATCTTCTTCGCACGTTTGTGTGGATGCAGATTGGACCATAGCAGCAGATAGCAATGGCGTCAGGTGGTGGCGGCGGCGGGATCTGCCAGTCGATCAACGAGGAGCTCTGCCGACTCATCAAAGACTCTCTCCTTCGCGGGGCGACGACGCAGGAGCACTACGAGAGCCTCCTTTCAAGCCTTCCACGAGCAAAAGCCATCATTAGCAGAGATCTCGTTGACGAACGTACGCGACGTCGGTTTTCTCTTACCCGTTTGTTTCTTCGAGTCTGTGCTGCTGTGTGTGGCTGCCCATCTATCTACGCAGGTCAGATGGCCACTGTGTTTGGCAAGCATTCTGACACCGTCATCGGGCGGCTCATTGATGAAGTAGCCGATAGCAGCGTGGACGACTCCACTAGGGCCAAGAACATCGATTGCCTCGGCATGGCTGTGGAGAATCCAAAGACAAGTAGGATGCGTACACACTGCACGCCCCGGATGCGTACACAATGCCCGCCCCCTGTGTGCTGCGCAGATGCCGTGTTCCACTCCGACCCCTGTCGTCTTGTGGCGCAGAGCAGCGCCGTCCTGCCGGCCACCGCTGCCGTCATCAAGAACAGACCGGCCGACATGTGTCCCTTGAGGCTGCGGCGTGCTCTCGCAATACTCGTCGTATTCCAGGGTCAGCCAGCCAGCCACCTCTCACGCACACACACAGACATTCGTGTAGGCTACGCGTATGTGTGTGTGTTCCGAATTTGCAGAGACCGGGCAGGGCGATCGCCTTTGGGATGTGGGCTTCATAGACCTGCTGGGTGACGTCCTCGCAGACGAAGACGGCCGTCTGGTGTGTGGCGGTGAATGTGACCCCCTCAGCGCGGCCACGATATGTGAATGCACCAAGATGATCTTAGCCGTAGACGAAGATGCACGGGTGGGTGAGCGCACATAGGATAGAGAGGACTGACACAAAGCCATGCTTGGATGAATGGATGGATGGATGGATGGATGGCTGCTGACTGACGTATCGACGATGTGTGTGGGCTGTGTCCGTCTAGGTTGCCGGTAGCGATGCGCTTCTGTGGGGAGCCTGCAAGATTCTGGAGAGGCTGGCTTGGGCAGCCGGGCGGCTAGAGAGGCCCGACATTGCCAAGGCAACCGAGACGGTCATCGACGTACTGACAGGACTCATCTGGTACCCACCTACGCGTCATTGGCCCCCTATCCATGCGTCACCGTTCTTTCGTTCAGGCACGGTGAGCAGGAGCTGCCTCCCGGCCAGCTGAACCCCATCGCTGCCAAGATGATCAAGGTCAGAAAGGCAGCACCACGCGACCGCAAGAATGAGTGTGTGACTGTTGGTTGTGTCTTCCTTTGTATGTGCAGTTTGATCCCATCCTCGAGCTCCTGACTACAGCAGAGGGCGAGCGAATGGGGTGGATTGATCTGGGCCTCAGCCCCAAAGTAAAGTCCTTCGTCACCGACTTTGTATCGCCCTACGTCGAGAAGGTCAGCTGTCAGCCAGTCCGCCAGCCGAGCACAGATGCGAGCACAGATGGCCCAGCCATGTGCATCTGTGGTGTTATGCCTCAGGAGAGGAGGGTCGACAAGGCGCGCAGACGTCTCCAAAGCGGATGGAAAGACCGACACAAGCAGAAGAATGCCGCGGTGAGTCCGTCACATCACTCGCCACATCCATGCATCCGTCCTGTCTGTGTGTGTGTCCGTGTGAGTGGTGGTTGCAGAACGGGTTTGTGCAGCTCCTTGGTGCCGTCAACAAGCAGACAGGCTGCAGGGAGGTGCTGAGAAACATATACGCCTGTGAGTATCGGATGACTCCCATGCGGGTGGCTGCGATGGCCTCGACGTGCCGCACACTATTCGACACGTGAGCTGACATTGCGAAGGTGGATGGATGGATGGATGTGTTGGCTGTCGGTCTCTGTCAGTCTCTGTCCCGTCAACAAGGTCGCTGGCGAGCCTGGTCGGCAAGTGCTGATGCCGCACTTTGCGACGCAGCTCAGGAATGACACTCTGATCGGGCGGACACGTGATGTCGTTCTATCTGACAGGTCCTTCAGACAGAGACAGACAGACAGACACCCAAAGATGAGAACCGTCTTTCTCTCCGTCCGCCGTCCGTCCGCCCGTCCGTCTGCGTGTGTCTTCGACGGCAGGAGCGTTCATAATGAGCTGCTGTCGGTGAGCATCTACGTGCCTCCGGGCGACATCGACTTCACCGAGGCGTCGTTGAGCGTCATTTACAGCTGTATCCTGGACACACACAGGCTGCGGAGGCTCGCATTGACTGGTAGATGCCAGCTCTGCTCTCCTCTGCTGTCCTCTCGTCTCCTCTTATCGGCCCCGGTCTCTAATGAATACGTGTGTGTGTGTTTGCCTACAGGCGTGCGCCTGGAGGATGTGTCCGACGAGAAGGGCGTGGCGTTCGCCGACGCCATCGGCAAGCTGCGGTGTCTTGAGGATCTCAGCCTGAGGGGGTCAAATCTGACCCCGGCCTTCACTGTTCGCCTTGGCGCGCTCCTCAGTAGTAGCCAAGATAGAAAAGGCCGACCGTTCAGGAACCTCAGGTCAGTCGGTGCTTGGTGGGTGGGTGCGGCAAGAAACCCCACTGCGGCGATATATCTGTGCCTGCGTCAGAGTGCTGCGTCTGGATTGGCTGGAACGCACCAGCAGTGTCGCAACTGTCGTCAAGGTAAGTAAGACGGCAGACGTCTCAACGGCTCTGAAGCACATGAATCCGTTGGTGCGTGCAGAGCCTCGGCAGCCGTCCCATGGATGTGCTGGATCTCGCCGAGCCGTCCCTTCCCTTTAACAACGAGGACGCCAGTGTCGACACGCTCCAGGTAGGCAATAGTCATCGGAAATGTGTGTGTGTGTCGCCTTGGCGTTGTTCTGTAGTGTTGCTTGTGTGTCCCTCCCTCAGGCCATCGGCGAGTCCTTTGCTGAGGTGAGATCTCGCGAGATCGACCTGTCGCTGCTGGTCAATCGAGACGGAGAGAGCGTCTCCCGGTAAGCACAGTGCTTCGTGCCACATACGCAACCGCGGTATGCTTCTCTCTCTCGCCTGAGCAGCTTCACTGATGCGCTGGCCAGCAGCATGGACCGCAACCCTCACAAGAAGGAGCTAAAGTGAGTGAAGTGATCGGCTCTTCGCTGGCACCATCAATGTTGGGCCCTGTCGATCTGTCCGATATTAATATGCACAGGTGCCTTGCCTTCGCTTACTGGAGCAGCAGCATGATCGCTTGGGCGCTCACCAATCCCGAGCTCTCGATCGAAGAGCTCCGCTTCAGTTCTTGGGTCTGTCGCACACCGGCTCATCGGCAGACTCGGTCTCCTCTGTATGTAGTATACGTGTGTGTGTGTGTGTGTGTGGTGTCAGGGAGGTGCCGAATCGGTCGCCTTCCTCAAGAGCTCGGTTTTCGCAAACATGGTGTTCGATGCGCACAAGAGGGCACACGAGAGGAGGGAGGCGGTGCTGCAGGAGACGAGGCGACAGAAGGAGGCGCAGTGGGCAGCAGCAGACTACGAGACGCCCCTGCCGCAGCCAGTGGGCCACGGACCACGCCCTGGCATCCCGTCGGCTGCGGTTGCAGCCGTCCTCAGAGAGAGGAGAAGAAGCCGATGGAGTGAGGCGCTGCGTCAGCGAGAGGATGAGGCCAGACGGACGCCTGCACTCCACATCGATCTGAGGGGTGGGTGGGTGCGTGGGCGGATGGGTGGGTGGGTGCATGCGACTAAGTGAGGGACTCACTGGTGGTGTATGTAATTTAGGGGTCAATTTAGCGGATGAGGGGAGCTCGTGGGTGGAGCTCTTCCGAACCATCGAGGCCATCAACGTACAGCACGGCTACGCCAAGACGGTCGTCTCCACAAGTAAGTGTTTAGTTGTATGTATCCACTGATCGCGGACAAAGAAGAGTGCGGTGGGTGCACATATCCCAATGTGCTGCGCTTGCAGGTCCCTGCTATCGTGGATGCACAGCTCGTCGAGACATAGAGCGCGCTCTGAGGCAGTGCTATCGCCACATACCCCCAACCGACGACCGGGCTGTCCGGGACCTCTCGGAAGCCGTCGAGGAGGTGTCAAGCAATCTGATGGCGGCTTTGCGGACGTCATTCTCATCCCTCTACCCCTACAAGTGGCACCTGGCCTTCATCGACAAGGCCCCGACTCTTCTAGAGCTGCTCAAGACGACCAAGGGGCTGCACATCGGCTGTACGGCATCAGCCAAGCCGCCCTTTGTGCCAGTGGACTTGGACTTCTTCGGCAAGTGCATATGCGAGGCAGGGCGCATGTTTGAGGCCTTCCCCCGGCCAGAGGAGTGTTTTTCTCTTCTGCGCGAGGCAAGCAAGTCCATGGCGAGTCTGGCAGCGAAGCTCGGTGGGTGCAGAGGCAAGAGTGAGATGTGTCAGACGGGAACCACACCACCGCAGTGCACAGATGGCGTCTTTCCCCTTTCACATTCAGGACACCCGACGGAGCCGGACCCTCCCATCAGCTTCAACGCTCCTCCTGCCAACTCACGCGCAGACAATGACCAACCAAACACACGTACTACACCACATCCACACACGTGTGGCAGGGTCTCATCTCGTGTGTGTATCTGTCCATCTGTGCACAAATGTGTGTTGCCAGCCTCTGAGCCTGCCGCCGATGCGTCCGGTCCGGCTGCAGTGGCCGCTGTCCTCTACGAGGGTGCTTATCCGGACGAGATGGGATGCTTACGCCGTCAAGACGAGACCCGCAGGCGGCTCCGCGAGAAACTCGACAGACAGAAGAAGCAGAAGGCGCACCGGCAAAGGATAGAAGAGTGTCCGGCCCCGGCTGAGCCAAGGGGGGAGGCTGACGGTGAAGAGAGCCGTGAGGCCATCATGAGGGCGGAGGCGAGGGGGAGAGAGGCCAGGCAGGCGCTCGGCGTGCAGCTACCGGGCGATGAGGTCATGGCCGAGCTGCAGTGGCAGCAACAGAAGCACCAGCAGCCACCGCCGGCAGAGAGCAAGAAGGCCAAGAAGAAGCGGCCGCGGCAGAAGGCCACTGGAGCCAAGAGGGCTGCATCTGCGGACCCATCGCCGACTCGCTGGCCGGCCACCCCTGCACCTGCTGCAGAGCAGATTGCTGCACCCTCTCACCAAGCCGACCAGCCGCCTGATGCGGCTGATGCGTTTGATGCCGGTGTGTGTGGTGAGCTGGATCTCGCGACCCCTGAGGAGCTTGTTGCACCCGGTCTGGACGCACTGCCCCCATCGGCCGATGCACCCCCCAGCAATGGTGGTGGTGGTGGTGGTTGTGGCGGTGATGCCTGTCCCCCACCCCTTCTGCAGACACCATCCGGCCCACCCTCCCCCTCCCCCTCCTGCATCGTTTTTCAAGGCCACCGGCTGATGGATGAGGTGGAGGTCTTGGCTTTCGGCGACGTCTTGGTTCTTCCTCCCGATCTAATGGAGCCCTTGGTCGATCCGTCGGGCAGCGAGCAGCCGTCAGCTGATGAGGATGACGACGGGCCCATGAGCCCCGACCACAGTGAGGGCGGCGAGTCGGCCTGTGACGGCACGGAGGGGTCAGAGCAGCCGCAGATCGTCAATCCCATCGGCTCTGCTGACCCTTTAGCTGACATCTCTTCAGCCGGAAAGTGCCCGCTGGCCGAGCAGCTGAAGCAGCAGATAGCGACGCTGGAGGAGAGGGCAGCCGAGGCTGAGAGCACCCTGGCGGCACTGCAACAGCGGCACCACATCGACAAGAGCAAGATGGTGGAGCTGGAGAACAACTGTCGGTCGAGTCAGGTGGACATGAAGAGGATGCGCGATGAGATCGACGCACACAGCGGCGTCATCGACAGGCAGCGGTGAGCTGGCTGGAGCGGCACAAACCAGAGTGGGCCACACAGGAATGGGTGACTGTTTGGTGGTCAGGAAGGAGCTCAAGAGCCTCCGCGAGCAAAAGAAGAGCCTGGAGGACTCACTGAGGAAGACCAAAGAGGAGAGAGACGCCGACAGACAACGGTGTGCGTCTGATAGACGAAACGACGCCGTCCATCCACACCCATTGACACACCTCTCCTGTGTGCTTAGGTGGGAGGATCGGGTGAGCAAGCAGTCCAAGGCAATCTCACAGCGAGACGAGGAGATGGCAGCGCTGCGCAAGAGGGACACGGACAGCAGGGCCCGCGAGAGGGCGGTAGCTGAGCTGGAGGAGAGCCTCAGGAACAAGGAGAAGCAGCTCAACGCCCACAAGGCCAAGATGGAGACCGAACTGGACGAGGAGAAAAAGAGGTCAGCACAGTACCCGCGCAGTCGAGTGCCATCCCATCCACGTCTCCCTTATATCTCTCTCCTCTGTGCGCTCAGCATGTCAACCATGGCCTCTCAGAAGGATGCGCAGATCAAGAAGCTGCAGGAGGACATGCGCAAGCTGCGGGGCGAGAAAGACGCCAAACTGAAGGAGCTGCGGGCAGAGCTTACGCAGACCAAGACCATGCTCAAGGAGAAGACCGCAGAGGCCGCCGAAAACTCGTTGTCGCAGGAACGGTGCGTGGTGGGTGGTTTTCCACGGAAACAGCCACCTGTTGGTGTGTGGTGTGTCGTGTGGATGAATGGATGGATGGATGGATGCAGGATTCGGGAGCTGGAGGGTGGTCACGAGGCGATGGTATTGCAGCTGCAGCAGCTGCAGCTGGACCTGGTGCAGGCGGAGCAGCGTGTCGCCGAGACCCAAGAGCAGGCCCAGCAGCGTGTGGCGGAGGCCCACACGCGGGCAGACCAGATGACCATGCCGCCCGACGTCGATGCCGACCGACTCAGGTACACACACGCCTTGATCCATGGGCCCATCCGTATGTCAAATGTCTGTGTGGTGTGGATGGATGCGTGTGTTGCAGGCAGTTTAGTGATATGTCTGACGACCAGCTGTCATCGCAGCTCCTGGGGCAGCTGCTGGCGGGCGAGAGGGACGCTAAGATGGCCAAACAAATCCACGCACAACGGTGAGCAGCTGCCCGTCGGCATATTCTCTCCCCCACACGGCTGTCTGTGTATCTGTGCGTCTGTGACATTCATGCAGGTCGCATGAGATGGAATCTCTATGGGAGCGGCTGCAGTCGTGTTCGCTTCGTGCGCTGCAGAGGAGCCTGCAGCGGCCTGGGACGGCGTGCGGCATATGCATGGATAGCGACCGACCAATGTCGCAGACCTTCGTGCCTTGCGGACACCGTATCGCTTGCACCGAGTGAGTGAGGTCCTGGGTGCTACGTAGCACGGGGGAGGAGCGGGCATCTTATGCTTTGTTGTGTGTGCTTGTGTGTTGTGTGTTCAGGTGTGCGAACAGTCTGATGAGTGCGGCGAGCCCTCAGTGCCCCGTGTGCCGCGCCAACATACAAAGCTTGCAGAGGACGTAAGCCTGCAATGGCGGGGAGGAATGTATACATACCTGCGTCAACGTGGTTTGTGTGCTGTGCTGTCTTGGTTGTGGTGTGGATGCCTTGCAGGATAGATGCGTAGCGATGAGATGAGATGCAATTCGAGAGCGGAGGAGAGAGCCTCATGTGCCATTTGGGCGAGGGTGGACGTGCCCTGCCTGCCTTGCCCCCCCTGGCTAGCTATAGATGAGATGGGTGCATTCGCCCCCTGTGAATATACATATGCCTAGATGCTCGTGTACAGGGACGCGTGTGTGCAGTGGTGGGTGAGTGGCGATGCTCGTGTGTGCGTGTGATTGCATGTCGTGTGTGTGTGTGTGTATATGTGTGTGAACGTACACGAGCTGTGTGTGTGTATATGTGTGTGAACGTACACGAGCTACCTTACCTGTACAGCGATGTGATCGATCACACTATAGTGACTGTTTTGACAGATAGATAGACACACCCACTGTCCTCTGGCACGGCATGGGCCCCACTCACGCACTCAGCTGTATTCACATTCCCTCGCAACACAACTAGCTACCACTACTGTACATGTACGCTACGCTACACACAAAACGGCGCGTGTCGTGTCCCGTTCCTACCGCTGCACATACCACACACACGTGCACCGCACCGCAACCTTTACCAGCGCATGCGCCCCCATTCATCTCATCTCATCTCCTTTTGCGCTCCTTTGGTGTCTTGGCGGGGATCCGCCAGAAGGGCACCTCGACCACGCGGCAGATGGTGCGCACATTGGCCACGATCAGCTCACCCAGATAAACCACACCCCACGCCGTCAGGCCCTGCACACACACACACGCACACACACGTGTGCCAGGCATTGCCAGTGTTGTGTTGTGCATTGCTTGGAGTGTGGCGCACCGTCATAAGAGTGAATATGAATTGATCGCGGGGCATCCCCAGCTGATGCAGCAAGGCAGATGGCGGCCCCGCTGTGAAGAAACGGTCGAATAACGACACAGGCAGATGAAGTAATTCTTGTGCTCTCTGTCTGTGTATGTCAGTCACCCGATAGCAGGACGGTCGTGGCGAAGAACGGCAGCAGCGGCCACTGGATCTGCGCAAACAGCACCTGCAAACACACCAGACAATGCGCATCAAAATGGATGGATGGATGGATGTGTGTGTGTTGGTCGATTGGTCTTGCCTTGCACGTCGTCGACGCGAGTGCCCTGAGGAAGTAGATGGCGAAATGGACCGTCGACACGACGCAGAACCATCCAACGTGGAATGACGCCCCGCCTGCATGGTGAGAGTGAGTGCGGACCATTGTACATGCACACATGATGCAGGTGCGTCTGGTAGAGGGTGTTCGGACCTCGTGTGAAGAACACATAGGAGGCATACACGTACACAAGCCACCAGAACAGGTGCCCTGCACAGATGCAGCCAGACAGCCAGACAGTGACGACCCGAATCGTCTGCCGACACCTCGCTCACTCACCGGCGGCCTGGAGTCTGTCCTTGGCCTTGCGAAGGACCTCCACCACAGTGGCAGCAACCAACAACACATCGCTGAGGGACACACCACACCACACCACACCACACCCACCATATATTCAGAACTCCGCATGCGATCTCTTTTCTGTCCGTGTGTGTGGTCAAATGCGTCCGTACATGGTGCACCAGCAAGGACCCAGGAATGTGTGCCAATAGAAAGCCCCTCCCGTCCCCAACACGCCGCCTAGCTGGCTCAGATAGGGCCTGGCTGCCAGCGGGGCCATTGCCACCAGGTCCGTGTCGCCCAGCACCAGCGGCATCAGGCACGCCACAATCACCTGCATGAATGCATGGCTAGCTAGATTGTGTGTCTATGCGGGAGCATTGGCGTGTCCGTCTGGTTCTGCTCACCGTGTATTGGCCTTCTGTGACGCCGAAGATGCCGAATGAAGTGGTGTATCGGTCGGTGTGCAGCTCCAGCCACTGCAGCATCATCAAGAGTGACACTCCACGTGTGCCAATGTGTTGGTTGCTCACGTACGTTCCACACGAATGTGTTGGTCTGTAGGCACATCAGTATCTGAAGCACGCAACAAACAGGGGAAGGAGGAGGAAGACAATCCTGAATGCATGGCCCGAAAGAGCAGGCCAGGTGGCTGCTGACCGCGAATGTGTTCATGGAGGCGCCGAACTTGGCTGCCGCGCAGCACACAATGCCCATGAAACACTGACACACACACACACACACACACAGACAGACAGACACACACACAGACACACACACAGACACACACACACACACACATATACACAACACCACAACAGACATGAATGGGCTAGGAGCCTCCTCCCTCTCACGGCAGTGAATGCGTCGCATCCATGGTCCACCAGCTGCCCCAGAGGCGACGATGCACCGGTGCGCCTGGCGTGCTTGCCGTCGATGGCATCCAGCGTCTGAACGAATGATTGAATCGACACACGCAATTGTTGTCACACATGAATCTGGATCTGGCGATTGATTGTCAGCCTGCTTGCCTGGTAGACGAAGACGGTCAGCGCAACAACCGGCCACACCCACGTAGGGGTGTCCTCTGTGAGCGTGGGTGCGTAAACGAGGCACAGCGCCGCCCCGAAGCCACTCGACAGCAGACCCAGCACAGTCAACGTGTTGGGCGACAGCCACTGAATCACGAAGCACACGAGGCAAACAAACAAAAGAGACCAGAGATGAGATGAGCAGTCACTCTCTTGGTTGCGTGGATGGCTCACTCACTTTTGGCACAGCGGCTGCCGCGGCGTTCCAGAAGGGATTGAGGAGGGCATCAAGGGGGGTCGGCCTGCAGGAAATGGCAAGGCGAGCGGGGATGAGTGAATCAGTCACCATAAGCTTGCTGCAGCAAGAGTGTGTGATTCATTCATTCATCGTTTCTGACTTTGATGACGTGTACTTGTACAGCTGCAGCCTCTCGACCTCATGCGAGTGCAGATAAGGCGGAAACAACATCCTTCTTCCGGCTCAGCTGCATCTTGAGCTCGCAGAGAATTGGCAGAGAAGAGGAAAAGACGCATTCCGAGCCGCCCCGACGCTCTAGTCAACGCTCACCCATTGCCAACGCTCTTTCAGCCATAACCATCATGGTGTTGTTCCTGCTGCAGCGGCTGACCAACCTGATGACGATGATGTACTACGAGGGCGAAGGCTACACCATGTGCGACTTCATACGCCCCAAGACAGGCCCGCATGCGCGCAAACCCAAACCACAGCAACAGCAACAGCAGCAGGATGAGGAAGTGGAGGAGTTCTCTGCCGCTGGCGAGTCTCTATGTGCCTCTGCCTCTGCGTCTGCGTCGGTGTCCGCGTCGGCCTCTGGTGCCGCTGGTGCTGCTGGTGTTGCTGCTGCGGGCGGGCAGAAGGCCATCTCATCGGGGAGCGAGGCGTGAGGACACACGCATGAGTGGATGGGGGATGGGGAGGATTGAGGGTTTTGCTGCCCGTCGATCTGCCTGCCTGCCTGGGGGTGTACAGAAGGAAGGCTGATACGATTGCCTCATGATGATGACAAGCATGGTCCGTTTGCCTGTCTGACTCAGTGGCTGTGGTCTTATGGGTGTGCTTGCTGATCTGGTCTTGTTTTTACTCTTGACGACTTCGTTTTGCGAGTGTGCTGTTCGTGTTCGGCTGAGCTGTGGGAAGGAAGGGTCTCTGTGACGAGCCCTTCACAGTGGCCGTCTAAACACTGAACACTTCGCGCCCCAATACATGAGGAAGCAGGCTGGTGAGCTCTGTGTGTGTGGGGGGGGGGGTGTATGTGTGTGTTGACTTCTCGCTCCCCTTCACGACTGACTCAGTCAATATTTGGATCCCGCCCGACGCCTTGTTGACCAACACACACACAATATACTCACTGTTCGCTCCACACAGACGTTCGCAGCATGTGGGCGCCGCACCAACACACACGCCGCAAAAAGCGAAAAAAGTCTATGCGGCGCCGGGCGGCAGCAAATGGATACACATCAACTGGTGGCTGCCTTCACAGGCATCTCATGAAGGCGCCGCGAAAGGCACGTGGCGTGAAGGGGCTAGCTGCGGTCGGTCGGTCGGTCGACACCCCCCACCCCTTCCGCCAACACACACACACACACACACACACCAACGGAAAACAGATAAGACACAAATATGCCTGGCTGCGATAGACAAGACAGAAACGGAGATCTCAGCGAGTGGACGGATGTGGTGGGGGCGTGCCGAGCCGAGCCGAGCCGAAGTAGGCGCGTCTGCTCGCTGGCTGGCCAGCCCCAAAAAAGCGATCGATGTGCTGGCTATAGCTAGTCTGTGACGGATATCTATCTGTGTATCGGTCGGCCGACACGGGTTCATGTCGGCCGCCTGCAGCGTTTCAAAACCTTGCAGCCGTAGAGAGAGACGTAGTACCTACCATTACCATTGGGCCAAGGGGGACTCACCACGCAAAAATGTCCCCAGCAATAGACAGACACGCGAACACACAACGTATGTACGACACGTACACAGACAGATAAAACCCTCCCCCTACGGACCTGCCTCCCCGAGTCACACCATAACGCACCACTACAAACATGACACGTGCACAAATTCACATACACACATACACGCAATCGCCCCTCCCACCATGCCCAGAATCTGGACGCATGTGATATCGCCCCGCCCCGCCCATCCGTCCCATATATCATATCACCGGCCTCCGTTCGTGTAGGCATCGCCGTTACTGACGATGACCTGCTCCTGCTCCGACCCACCGTTGATGTCTTCGGTGTCCGTCGCGTTCCCCCGCACTGGCGGCGTCCACTTGAGACCGATGGCCTTGGCCACAAAGGCAAACGTGTCACCCCATTGCTCGATCGTCTGATGGAGATGAGACAGACAGACCGACACGGCAGGCGGGCAGACCACAGATGGATGAGGCGCGGGCACATGTGAGTCAATGTCCATGTCCATGTGAGTTGGTTGTTGTGTATTATTCTGTACACACCTTGGATATTGGCTTGCCCGCACCGTGTCCCGCTTTAGTCTCGATGCGGATCATGAGGGGGTTCTCCTGCTGATCGCTGCTGCCCAACTGGTGCTGCAGTGTCGCCACGTATTTGAAGGCGTGCATCGGGACGACACGGTCGTCGGACTCGGCCGTCAGAACCAGGATCTGACGGCACAGATATATGTCGATGGGAACGACAGCACACACATCGTTGTCCGTCAATGCCGTGAGTGCTTGGACTTACGGCAGGGTACTGCTGCCTTTCCAGCTCCTCAGAAGGCGTCTTGATCTGCAGCAGCGGATGATACCTGACACAACACACACACACACACACACACATACACACACGTGTGCCTGACTGAGCTCCCTCCCACTCACTCCTTGAGCCAGTCAAAGTGGTCGGAGATCTCCGGGTCGCCGTACTCGGGAATCCTGCGCATCGACACACACGAATGCTCCCTCTGTCCATCCCCTTTTGAGTGGGCACGACAGACAGACTGACCATGCTGCCCCGATGGTGAACAGATGGTATCTGAACATGTCGATGACGGGAACGCCAGGGATGACGACCTTATACAGGTCGGGCCGTTGGTTGGCCACCACGGCCATCAGCAGACCGCCGTTCGACGCCCCATGGACCATCAGCCTGACACACACATACGCAGGGAAGTCAGCATGAAGCTGTCCGAAACCACCGTGGTCTTGGCTGCATACTTACTGGTCTGATGTAGTGTATTCGCTCTCGATGAGGAACTCAGCAGCGTTGTGAAAGTCGTCAAAAGCAGTCTGACACACACACACACACACACACACAAACAGGGTAAGGGCAATCACACAGCTGGCCGGCCAAGGCACCTACGTACCTGTCGTTTCTCCCCCACTGCAGCAAGGTGCCATTCGACGCCGTATTCCCCCCCGCCCCGGATGTTGGCCAAGGCGTACATGCCCCCGAAGTTCTCGACAAATATGAGGGCGCTGGTGATGAAGGACGGCTGGATGGACACGGAGAAGCCGCCGTACGCGTAGAGGAAGCACGGCTTGGGGGAGGGGGCGCCGCTGGCGGCTTCTTTTGACTGGAGGATGAACATGGGGATCTCGGTGTCGTTGGAGCTCTTGTAGAAGACCTGGGAGACCGCGAATATAGACGAGTCGTATCCCTCGATCTGAGAGAGAGAGAGAGAGAGCATTGGGAGGTATTGTGTGAGTGTCTTTTGTCGCCAGGATGTACCTTTGTCTCTCTGAAGAGGTTTTTGGTGGCCTCCTCCTGCGTGAAGTCGAGGCGGTAGACGGTGGTGGGGGTGAGGAAGTCCTTCATTGACAAGAAGATCTCTGACGGCACACCACAGCCACACAAGCCCATGTCTCTCTCTCTCTCTCTGTGTGTGTGTGTGTGTGTGGTGTGTGTGTGTGTTCCCCTCCCAATCTTCTTTGTGTGTGCTGCATATAGTCACCTGGCTCGTAGAAGTTGACCCGGTATGCTCCCCAGCCGTGAGGCATACTCACAGTGCCCAGGTCGAATTCAATGTTACCCAGGAACTCACCTAACCAACACAAACACCAACACGTCAGCTTCAGCGAGGCGGTGCGGCGACCCGCCCGCATCCCCGCCCACCTGTTGTGAGGTCGTAGTATTTGACGATGCTGTGGACGTCCTTCATGTAAGACACGAGCAATATCGTCTGCACGGGAAAACAAGCGGGACAGCGACATTTGTGCAGGCAAGCAGTGTAGCTGGCTTTTCTGCCCTAATCACCTCGTTGACGACCATGGCTTCGTCGAGCACCGCCAGGTCCTCACCCTCAGGCACCAGCTCCATCCACTCATCCTCGTCTGACGTAGACACACACACACACCAAAGTCCATGATCAAGCCAGTGCAGCTCGCCCACCTGGCTTCTCGATATTGATCTGGATGATGCGTTTCCTGGGCGCCTTGAAGTCGGTGATGAGCGTGAAGATGGTGCCGTTAGTGGCGAGCAGCTCGTACTCGTGCTCGCCCGGGTTGGTGATGAGCTTCACCCACTCTGTCTTGGAGTAGTCGCGGACCTTGGACTCACCATCATCTCCGCCGTCCATGAAAGGGATCTCGTCGATCATGGCGTACCACAAGGCATTCGTCTGCACACACCAATCGCATGCAGGGCAGGAGGTGGTGCCTGTGTGTGTGTCTCGGTGTGTGGGCAGTGACTGACCCTCTCAGCGCCTCTGGATATTATGCAGATCAGGTATTCCCTGTCTGGTGTCACGATCACGCCCTTGACCCAGGTGGGATGCTCGGGCGTCTCGACGACCACCAAATCTGCTGCTTGGTCCGTACCCATCACGTGGTACATTACCTGCAGACCCAATAGACACAGAAGGGCGCCATCTTTCTCCCCCAACACGGACAGTGCAGTGCAGTTGCCGACCTTCGAGTCTGTGAGTTCGCCCGAGTCGTCGCCGCCCTCAGGTCTTGGGAACATCTGGTAGAAGACGCCCCTGCCGTCTGGCGAGAAGACGACGTTGCTGAACTTGACGTCTTTGATGGTGTCAGGCAGAGGCTCCCGGCTCTCCGTCTCCATGAACTCCACAAACACCCAGTCACTGCCGTTCTCACTCTTGCCATACCTGCACACACACGACACGAGAGAGAACACAACACAACACATGACATGATGCATCCCATCCATCTACCATACCATGTGGTCCCGTTCGTGTGTGTGAGGGGCTCACGCAAATGTCTGTCCGTCCGGCGAGAACCCTTTGGTGTATGTGAGGGCGATGGTGCCGTCCTCAGACCACTTGTTGGGGTCCAGAAAGACGCTCTCCTCCGTCAGCAGCTCCTCGTCAGTGATGTTGTTGAAGTCCACCCCGGCCACGTTGGGCTCCTCGAGGTCAAAGATGTAGACCCTGGCCTGGTCCTCGAGCCCCCGCTGCATCTCCCATATGAGCTTGGTGCGAAGGATTTCATCGGTCTCGGCGTCGCGGATGAATATCTTCTGTGGTATGTTCAGTGAGGTGTAGTTGTTGAGCTGCTTCATGCGGGCCTTGGCCTCGACGCCGATGGAGCTGCCATCGATGTAGGCGCTGAAGACGTCATTCTGATCGGCCACGAATTGCTGCGTGTCGGCACTTGACGGATTCTCAAGCCACCTGTACGGTACGTGACAAAGACAAACGGGATGGATGGGCGGGCGGGAATGTGAATCAGTGGTGGGCTACCTGTAAGGGTCCTCAACGCGCTGCCCGTGTAGCTCATCGACGGTGTCATCCCGCCGGACATCGGGATAAGTATAAGCAGCACGCAGCGGACCCTCAGAAACTGATCAACCGATCAACAGAGACAGACAGACAGCCAGGCACAGACAACATGATGAGAGCCACTGCAGATACCCGCTGACTGGCGTTCATCCTGTCGCCCTTCTCTCGTCGCACCTTGTAGCCTCCTGTTCCATCCCCCCCTGATGCTGCTGGCGGCAACCTGCACACAACACATCACGCGATGTCTGTGTGTGTATCTCTCCCTCTCTCCCTCCCTCCCTCCCTTGTGTGTCTGTGCATTCGTGTCTGGCTGCGCCTGCCCGCTCACATGAATCAAAACTGCATAGACGACAGCGATGAGTGCCATTTCGGTTCCGAATGAACCCCGCGGCTTCATTTTCGCCACGTCGATAGAGAGCAAAAAGGAGTTGCGATGGGGAAGATCAGTCAGCCCCGCTGATTCGGCTCGCTGACTGACTGAGATGGTCCGTCTGTCTGTCTGTCCGTCTGTCGGCTTCCTCACAGCAGCACAGCCCGGCGAAGCACAGCGGGCCCTTTGCCGGTCTCCTCGGCCGTGTGGATCTGATTGACTCTGCGCTCAGAGGAGAACCGGTGATGCAGAGAGGAAGAGGCGCTGATCTGGCGACTTCTTGCCCTTCTCTCACCCTTCTCAATGCTTATTCTTAGGGCCGACAATTTCCGTTTAATCCCTAACTGCGCTGTAAAACCAACCAGCCAAAGGGGGAAAATGGACCACAACCCTGCCGCGGCAGCCACTGTCAACACCTCTTTGCCACCTCAACAACTCATGACTCGACAAGAAGACGGCGCTGCTGCTGACGGTCCTGGTCCTGGTCCGACTGCTGACGCTGCGATAAGTCCAGCGCGGCATGAGCAGCGGCATGAGGACAACGGCACCATCCTCGGCGACCTCTTCAAGTCAACAGAATTCCCCGATCTGGACAGGCCGGGCGAGACTAAGACGCTGCACGACGTCCGCCTTGTGGCTGCCGAGCTGCTGGACCGCAGCCTCGGCTGGGTGGTCTCTCGCTTCTCACACGAGCTGTGGCGCGCACTAGACAAGGAGGGCAAGCGCTACATCCTTGAGTCGCGTCCCCCGCCGCCCTCCGACATGTGGGAGGCGACCACCCTGAGTGTGCTGTCGACGGCGAGGCCGCTGGAGGAGCTCAAGAGCGACGGGATGGTGCTCAGCGACGACCTGCTCAGGAGGGTGATGACCACCATCAAGGGGGACGACTCGGATGTGCCGCTGGTCGACTGGGTGAGGGTGAGATGGGAGACAGGCCGACCGATTGGGCGGACCTCTGTGATGTGGTGTGTGGGTGTGTGGTGGGTGGTGCAGTCGATTCGTTCTGAGGAGCACCGGCGGCACTACCCTGAGGACAGGATCGACCGCGACAAGAGGCGCGACAAGGACAAGAAGAAAGACAAAAAGAAGAAAGACAAGAAGGACAAGAAGAGGAAAAGAGACGACGACCAGTGAAGCAAGGAATGAATGAGCAGAACGGGACGGAGGGAGGGAGGCTGGGTGGGATGGGTGGATTGGGCGATAGAGTGGGACATGGGGATGGGCAGGCC